TATCTTTTTGGAGAAAATTTATTTAATTAATTGGGCGAGAATTTCTAAATCAATATTTAATTTTCGATACATGTTGAATCGCACTGGTTCTAATTTGTTGTTTCCCTCTAATCCGAAATTTGAGTCCAATCTAAAATTTTAAGTTGTATCTATTCATGGAGAACAATTATTCAAAGTGTTTTCTGGTTGTTGCATGTCATTTTCTGGGTTGTGTCTTTTAGTATAGTGACTATCCGAAATGTCATCAAAGTGTCTAGAAATACTCAGTCTCATTACCATTCATTTAATTCATTCATCAATCTATTTTCGGCATTAAGCCAGACATTAGAGCATAGCATTTCAGCATTAAGACAATCTACATTTGAAGAGTACAGAACACAAGTTTTGGTTCGCTGGACGAGTAAATTAGTGTATTTTTTCTCGTATAAAAATAATTGTATCCTGTGAGACAGACGCTCGATATTTCATAAGCACCATGTGTGGAGACAAAATCTATCTTAAGAATATAGTGTCAAACACTAGCCTTGATCTAAATCAAGTTTAATAACAATTTTTGTTCTACAAGTGGGTTAGTATTTATATTAGTTTGGCAAAAAGTTACGTGTAACTCTTTTTTTTCTGTATAACTGTTTACTGTTACTGTTTTATTAGACTGTTGTAACTCTTTTGTGTAACTCTTTCGTTTCTGTGTAACTCTGTACATGGTTCGAATCAAAAATTTCAATAAATGATTTTACAATATTTGAAACACCATACAACCAACAATGTCAAAATAGGATTATGCATAGGAAAGGGTCTTATTAAAGTGGGGTTCGTGTCATATTATCTAAGTCGCATTATAGCAAAATAGGATTATGCGTAGTAATTGGTCATATTAAAGTGGGGTTCGTGTCGTATTATCTAAGCTGCGTTATATCAAAATTTATTTAAATTATATTTGATTTATTTAAAATTGTGTACAATAAAATTCGTGCCGATATGAACACATATAGCAGAGTGTAATGATCCATTTGTCAAATGGGTCTGATTGATTAATCTAGTTGTGATCTGAATATGTTAAGACTAAACTCAAACTCGATAACTTTATATCAAATTAATTAGCAAATGATTTTATGAATTGTTAGCTGTAAGTTCTTATATGGATACCAAAAAAAAAAAACTATTTACTCAGTCTTTAAATAGCATTGCTCTCCATTATTTAACAATTACAAATTCTGATTTGAAGACACGAATAGCAAATGACATTTGTGGTCATACTCCCCCTCACCCCCTTGCTAGGTGAAAAGGGTATAAGGGGAGGGAGGGGTATCGTTATGAACCCAATCCTTCGTTCAAAAGTTTCAAGACTCATGAGAGAGTTAGAGTTTATAATTATTTGAACGTAACATTCTACCATGGTCAAAGTCGATATCTGCTGTGAATCACTCTATCAACACTGATCCAACGATAGACTTTTTTCTTTGACAGTTCCAATCACTTGAACTATTAGTATTCAAAGCGATAACTTCATACCCGTATAAAATATCAAGATATTTTAATTTAACATATAGGTCGTTTATTCCGTAATTTGACCTTATGATGATTTGTTATCTGTTCTGATATTAATTATTATGAACCGTGACAACATGCTGTGTAGCTACTAAACGTAACTGTACTAGTCCTCATCCATCGGAGAAGTCTTTTAGATGGAAAAAAAGCCGTACACACTCTTTAAACACAATCCCAGTCATAGTTGAATACTAATTCGACCCAAACGTTAGAAACAAATCAATAGTCTACCCCCTCAACATTGGACCCTTCACAAGATTTTGCAAATCTTACTTCTTTTTTTTTTTTTATGAACACACAAAAATAGATACATCACACGGTAATCGCAAGTAGGGGCAGAGCCAAGATTTCCTCATGAGGGAGAGTTAAATAATGGCATAACTTATTCAATAGTATTGTTAATGTCAAATTTTCACATATATAGAACATATTAGAATCAACCTCACATGTTATAGTATAATCATTATTTCTAATATAATTCAAACTAAGTCAAATAAATAGATGTAAAAATAAATTAATTCATCAAATAATTAATTATTTAAGTTGAATTTTATAGTCTAATAATTTGAGTATAATTAAATTTGATCATACTTTTGGCAAATGTGAAGGGAGAAAGTGGGGAGAGAGAACAAATATCTAAAACATATATTCTGAATAGTTTTAAACTTTTTATTTAATGTTTTAATATATTATAATTTGTCCACTTAGCTATGACACTAATTTTACTTTAATAATTCATGCAAAATGTCAGTTTTAATAGTTAATGGTTCAATATGGTCAAATCAAAAATCGAGAGCATAAAATAAAATCATTATAATTTAAGGTATAAAGTATAATTATAAGAATTTTAAGTGACTTATAATTAAAAATATAATTTTAAGAGTATAATATATAATTTCCAAAAGTTGAGAGGGCTATGGGCCCCTTGGACCATTACATGGCTCCGCCCCTACTCGTAAGATTCCAAGAAGACTAATAAGCCCAAGTTCAAACACTACTCCCAAAAAGACTCAACCTTGCACAAATCTTACTTGTTTCATAAGCTCTAGGGAGAGACTACTATGATCATATCCATTTCGGTGTTGAATTCGAATCTTCTAATATATTACCTATATTAAGTTCATTTAAGGGTAGGTCATGTATGTATAGGGGAACAAATTGAAAATAGAGAACCTTATTTGAATTTATAATGCTTGATCTATCCTTAGTAAAAAAAAGAGTGACAATGTAATGTGGAGGACTTGGCTCTCGGACTTGGCTCCTCTCCAATTTTAGGTTCAATTGGAGGACTGTATGTCAACAAAAAAATAAGATAGTTAGATGATCTCCAATTTTAGGTTCAATTTTAGGTAGAGTTGTGTCATAATCTACACCAATAAATCTGAATTATTGCTGAAAATCATTAATGGTTATCGAAATAAACAAACTCCTAAAATTTCCTTATCAATAAATCAATCCTAAAATAATAAATACTAAATTAAACCAAAACCAACTGTTGAAGAAATTCATAAACTAAATTAAAATATCAGTTTTAGAGTTTAGCAAATGAAACTATTCTAAGTTAGATGAATATGAAACAATAAGACCACGGCTTGAATGAAAAGGCAAAATTTCAGCAAAACAAATCAAATTAATCATCTCATAGGAAATTTTCCTCGAGACCAAGTCTGGGTAAGAAAATCATAAAAATAGCTCTTTAATAGTGCTATCTATTTGAGTTTCCATTAACACAGTAACGAATCCAATAATCTTACATATTTCTCTGTCTTATTAGGAGGAAAACCATTAGATTTGGGTGAGGTCTTGAAGGCATTTGAAGGAGCTCGTTGTCTTCGGAATCTCTTAGATTATCACAAAATGAATTAGTACAATTTAGTATAGGGTAAATTATACTTATACCCCTTAACTATACTATCACCTTTTTTCACTTTACCCCTCAAATGCCAGATTTCTAAAATTGTACTTTTAACTAAAACTTTGTTTCATATTGCCTCAATCATAAATTGTCTGTTAATTTTTTGGATTAAAATTGTTGACGTGTAAGAGTAAAGTGAAAAAAATAACATAGTTTGGAGGTAAAATAAAATAACTTGCTGTTAAATATGTAACAGACGTTAATAATTGAGGTAATGTGAAACTAATTACATAGTTGAGGGTGCAGTATGAAAAATCTAATCATTGAGGAGGTAAAGTGAAAAAAATGGCTATAGTTTAGAGGGTGTAAGTGTAATTTACCCTTATATATGAACAAAATCCATATTGAATAAGAACAAATTGAAGATACAAATCAAAGGTCAAAGAACAAACTTGGCGATACAACCCCCATGTGGAAGGCTTCTCTATGAAACTCTGCCATTAGTTATGATAAGACTTACATCTCTTTAAGGAGACAAGTTCAAATAGGGGATAAAGATAACTCCTAAGAGTAAGATAAAATTGTTAAGATAGCTGATAAGGAGTGGGAATTATATAAAGATAAGATTTGTTTTTCAGCAACTGATAGAGTTGATCTTTAAAATGTTTTTTTGGGGATTGATAGAGAGAAGCCACACAAGATTTAAGTTGTATTTGGCGTAGCTTCTCCAAATATAAGTCCATCTTCTAAATAGACTTTTTGAGATACACTTTACAAAAAAGACTTTTATTAATAATATTTAAAAAGTACAAAATGTAGAAAAATTAGGCTGGGAACTGAAGGCTTCTACTTAATCAAGCCCCTACCCTTCCCCCTCCCCAAAATAAAATAAAATAAAAAATTTGAACTTGGTTATTCAATTACAGTACGAGCTATTCAGGTTGATTGATAAACTCTTATTTTTTCCTTCAAAGGTTAAACATTTTTGGAGGTGATGTGTGGACTTGAGTTTGTTGATTTTCTTGGACTCGTGATTGTAAAATGAAATTGGATAAAGTATGTTCAAAATAAACATGATAAATTAAATTTGAATTTATATCTGATCTATTAACCCGCAAAATGTTGAAATCTATGAGTGTAACCGGTGTAAACTTTTATGTGGGATGGCTATTGTTTTCCAATAAGTTTATGTGGGATGTTAAGAGTATATAGAAATACAAAGAACAACTTTAAAATGACAATGCATGCAAATTACTTTCAGCATTTGCAAAGGTTATCAAGAACCTTGAGATAAGGGTTTGACTCCTCTCCTATTACAAAATAATTAGAGGATTCTCTAATTCATTTTACATACGGAATAATCTATACATGTTCAGTTTATCTATGAATAATCAAAATTCTGATTTAAATACTAGAATTTACTGTCGTGGATAGATTCTTATCATGAGTAGCCTCATAGATACATATAACTATGAATAATCCAAATTCTGATATGCAAAATCATCTTATTCTTATCAACTTATCCGTTTTTCTCTCCTGCTTACATATACCCACAAACTGATTCTCCATTTCTCATCATTTCTTCTCTTTCACAGCCATGACGATGGTTTCTTTTAGCAGGCTTGTAGCGTACATTATTGTGTTATTTTCTGCTTGCTTGCCTGCTATTGCAGTCGAGGTTTCATATGATGGAAGAGCAATAAAGATTGATGGAGAAAGAAGAATCTTAATCTCTGGTTCCATTCACTATCCTCGTAGTACTCCAGAGGTACATTTGTTTACTAGTTTGTTTATATTTTTTGTGTCTAGTTTGTAGTTGATGAGCCTCAGTCCCTCCGTACACGTGATAGGAATTTGACACTCCACAAATCCCGCAACGATGAGAGTCTCATGCAATGTGCTATCCGGTTTTAGAGTAATTGAGTTTCCATTGTGATATGCTTTGTCAATTACCATGGTAGCTATGTAATTCACAAGAAAATGCCATGCACATAGTCAATATAGTTGCATTTTGTTGTAGCATAAAGTTCTTTTGATAATGGAAGTCTGAAACAGTGTGTTTGAATTGAAGCTTGTTTAATGATGTTTTGGTTTTACTTTTACTATTTTACAGATGTGGCCATCCTTAATCCAAAAAGCAAAGGATGGAGGCCTCAATACAATTGAGACTTATGTTTTTTGGAATGCCCACGAGCCACAACGTCGTCAGGTTTGGAGTTACATCTCTTTTCCATTTCCATTAAATTCAAGAGCCCTTGTTGAGATCTCGGGACAAATTCATTTTCTTAGAAACACATACAAGATTCGTTCCTTTTCTTGAAAATATGGCTTAATATGTGGTTCTAACCCTTCTTTTTTTTTTAGTATGACTTTTCAGGGAACCTAGACCTTATAAAATTCATCAAAACCATCCAAAATGAAGGGCTTTATGCTCTTCTGCGAATTGGACCCTATGTATGTGCAGAATGGAACTATGGGTAATTGCCTTGACATGTGTGAATCTCTTCATCCAAAGCTATGTTGATATATAATAGTGACTAATTCTTAAGTTAACTTTATGTTCTAGAGGGTTTCCGGTATGGTTGCATAATATGCCAAACACTACTTTCAGGACCAATAACGACGCGTTTATGGTAATTTTATACAATTTTTTAATCCATTTTAACTATTCAAATGGGTGTTTAATACCCTTGTTTCTTCAATTTAGAATGAGATGAAAACTTTCACAACCTTGATAGTTGACAAGGTCAAACAGGAGAATCTTTTTGCTTCTCAAGGAGGGCCTATAATCCTTGCTCAGGTTTGTAAATAAATTTTCGCAATTTCGTAAATTATTTGCATGTTGTCTTTGTTTAATGTATGTGATTACTGATTTTGTTTTTGTGAAAAATAAAAATAGATTGAGAATGAATATGGAAATGTTATTCAATCCTATGGAGATGATGGAAAGCAGTATATAAATTGGTGTGCTGATTTTGCTGAAAGTCTAAGCATTGGTGTGCCTTGGATTATGTGCCAAGAGGGGGATGCTCCACAGTCAATGGTATTAGCATTAGTGATGGATCATTAATACAACTTTTATCTTTTTTTTTCTTCATTTTGGCTTATTAATTTATAAATTTAGCGCTGTTTTTCGCTGTTTTGAAATAGATTAACACGTGTAATGGTTGGTATTGTGATCAATTTACTCCAAGTAGACATGATGTTCCTAAGATATGGACAGAGAATTGGACTGGCTGGTTGGTTATTTTAACTTTTGTCTCCATTTAATTTCTTGGGTTTCAATTCTCTGTCACTTTTGATAAATGACAATGTTATATGTTATGACTATTTAAGGTATAAGGATTGGGGTGGCAAAGATCCACATAGAACTGCAGAAGATCTTGCCTTTGCTGTTGGTCGTTTTTATCAATATGGAGGCACATTACAAAACTATTATATGGTTCGTAGACAAATCGGTTATGTTTATTTTTCGAGCATAACATTGGAACTAATATGTCGATTGCGTACTTATATGTGTGTTTCCATGGTTACAGTACCATGGTGGTACCAATTTTGGCCGCACATCTGGGGGACCATACATTGCCACAACTTATGATTATGATGCACCCCTTGATGAATATGGTACAAAAACTGAAGCTAAGATTTTTGTTATAAGCCTTTTCATTTTGAATGTCCTAATAAGAAGTGTTTTAGGAAATCTAAACCAGCCCAAATGGGGTCATCTCAAGCAGCTTCACCTCCTCCTTATATCAATGGAGAAAATTCTCACTCATGGTGAAGTGACTAACCATGACTATGGGAAGATGATGTCTGTGAGTGTTTTCTTTTTCGACTTTATGTTCCTTCTTTGAAACATTTGATTAGAAACATTGATACATTTCTTTTAAATTTGTTTTCTATTTGTAGTCCACAGTTTATGACCTTAATGGTACGAGGGTATGTTTCTTTGGAAATGCAAATGAAAAGGAAGATATACAGATCACCTTTGAAGGCACTAACTATACTGTTCCTGCTTGGTCCGTTAGCATTCTTCCAAATTGTTCAAAAGAAGTCTACAACACTGCTCGGGTAAATTACCAATCTATAACTTGTGCAATAATAATGTTTTTTTTTTTTTTGACAATCATAAATTACATTCAAGTGTTGATGGCTACTAGACATATATTTTCTTTTGTAATTCTTTGTAGGTTAACAGTCAAACATCTGTAATGGCAAAGAAGCCATATGCGCAAAAGTTGGAATGGACATGGAGAGCTGAGCAGTTTGAGCACTTTAAGAGCCCTTCACAGAAGCAAAGTAGCCCTTTAAAGGGTGTTACTTATGCCACACATCTTCTGGATCAAAAGGCTCTAACAAACGATACCAGCGATTACTTATGGTACACGACTAGGTAATTCCTACTTCAATTTTTCTACATAATTCAACATTAAGATATATTTTTTTCCTGTACTTTCTACTACATGTTTTCAGAGTAATTTCATTTATCGCAGTGTGGACATAGATGAAAATAGCCCAGTCTATGGCCAAGAGGCCAGTCTAGAAGTTCAAAGCAAAGGGCATATACTACATGCATTTGTTAATGCAAGGCATATAGGTATCTTTATGTTAGTTTTTCAGCACAAAATATACCATTGAAACTTGTAATGGCATGTTACACCTTCAAACACCACAATTTTAGGATCTAAATGGGCCAAAGACGGACATTATGACCTCTATTTTGAGCGATCTGCCAAGCTCAAGCTCAGGCATGGGAAGAACTCGATATCGTTGCTCAGTGCCACCGTTGGGCTTCAAGTAAGGATTTAAAGTGAAAAACATGGGATTTTTGCTCATAGATTTTGTAAAATATCTGTGCAAATTTAATGTGATTTTTGTGCTTCGTTTATTAGAATTATGGAGCCTACTTTGACAAAGAAGAAAATGGGATACTTGGTCCTGTAAAGTTAATTGCACCAAACAGCCAAGAATTGGACTTATCCACAAACCAGTGGGAGTTTAAGGTTGGACTGAATGGTGAAGAGAGAGAACTTTACAAAGACGATGACCACAGAAATTGGCATACCGATAAGCTTCCTTTTAATAGGATGTTTGTTTGGTACAAGGTACTTAATCAATTTTACTTTCTAAACTTCACATTACCACAATTTTCTATTTTGTTCATTAAATTCATAAATATCTTTCTTTCAGACTACCTTCCAATCTCCACCAGGAGAGGACCCTGTCGTGCTCGATTTATTAGGCTTGGGAAAAGGAATTGCTTGGGTGAATGGCCACAATATTGGTAGATACTGGCCAAGCTATCATGCTGATGAAAATGGTTGCAGCTCTACTTGCGATTATCGTGGAGCATACACTAACAATAAATGCTTGACGAACTGTGGACAACCTTCGCAAAGATGGTACTTAAAAACTCATAAAATCATGTTCTTAATACAGTTTTCCAGTCATATTAATAAATTCTGTCGTGCTTTTTGCTTAGGTACCACGTGCCACGCTCCTTCCTGCAAAAAGAAGGAAACACACTGGTTTTGTTTGAGGAATTTGGTGGCAACCCTTCAAATGTGAATGTTCAAACTGTAACAGTTGGAAAAGCTTATGGAAATGCTTATGAAGGGAACAACTTGGAGCTATCTTGCCAGGGCGGGCGAGTTATATCTGAGATCAAATTTGCTAGCTTTGGAGATCCAAAAGGCACCTATGGATCCTTTGAGAAAGGCAGCTGCGAATCGCCTAACAGTTTATCAGTCATCAAACAAGTAATTAGTGATCACTTTCAATTTCTGTTTTCTGAAAGTTTTAACTTAAGTTTTGGCTGATTTCTTATGTTGTTTCAATGATCTTTTTCTGATGGCAGGCTTGTGTTGGCAAAGAGAGCTGTTCAATTGATGTGTCTGAGGGGATTTTTGAGCCTAGTGGCTGCAAAGACCTCACAGCTAGGCTTGCTGTTGAAGCTCTATGCTAGAGTTTTTTTTTTAGAATTAGGATTGGGTTATTGAACAAAGTTATTAGCTTAAAAACCACACATCCTTCTTGAGCCATTCTTTTTTAAAGATATCATAGTTTTTAAGGATTCTAAGTCATGTTAATTATAAGTAATTAGTATTTAGGTAATTTAAGTACCTTAGATCCAAATGCTCTCTAATATATTTTTTCTTACTTTTACATAGAGCATACTAGCGGTGGTCTTGTGAAATTCATGGAATTTACAATCTCTCCCCCTCGCCCCACCCTTACACCATTGGAAAATGGCATATTAATGTACTAATTGATTTCAAAAGATTTAAATGAGTATGGTGCTAGTGGTTTATATTGATCACGTGCTAGAACTAATTTTTATTAAATAATTTAAGAGAATTGAGTACTTTTGGGAGAGAAGACTTCTCAACACATCTTTCTCTTAATTTATTTTTTTATATAGTAGCACGAAAGTATAGAAGTATAAAAATCGTCTCCCACAAATTTATGCAGGACTCAATGCACAATGCTAATTTTATACTTAGGAAAAATGGGAAGAAAGTTATCCTTTTTTCTTTGACTTGTAAAATTGCTGGCAGCATAGCAGCCTAGAGTCCAAGAAAAGTACACTTTCAGGCAGCAAAAAAACCTAGTAATGCACCATTATAACATGGGAGTTTGATATAATATCATAAATTAAATAGGCAACTATGTGTTAATGCTGAGCTAGATCCCGTTCCGAATTAAGGTAAATATCATATGCAAGAGTTGTCTGTGTCTAAGAATATATCATCCATAAATCGAGCACATTTTCTTGACTTATTCAGTACTCTTAAAAAGTAATGTTATGCTTATTAAATTTTTTATTTCAAATGATGTGATGCAATCTCTATCATTGTATATTAATGAGACTCATTTATTTGACGGTGAAAAATATATCACTATCACTAAAGATAAAAAACTTGATAAAAATTCTTAGTCAGCATTTGAATTCTAATAAAAAAAATGTCATATAGAGCAATTACTCATTTTTTTTTTAGAAAGTAGAGCAATTACTCGTTTACCCAAACATTTGAATTCTTAAAAATAAATAAATCTGTAATCTATTATTATCATAGATAAATTATACCCAAACTTTCTAAGGTTTGTCACTTAATCATCTAAATTTCCTCATATTTGACATATTATATTTAGGTCCCCTGAAATTTTTGCATGTATAACACATAACTCTATCACCAATCTCCGTTAAAATAGTCGTTAAAAATTTATGAAACAAAATAGATATTTATTTGCTATCATTAAATTTTTTGTATCAATGAGTATTTTCTATTTTATTTGTTATCAATTTACTAACAAACAGTGGAATAAGGAAACCCAAAAAAAAGGGGGGGGGGGGTTGAAACAGAATAGATATTTCCAATAAAAAACAATTTTGACATTCAAGGACCATAATCAGCACAAATATTTTAAAAAAAACAAAAAAAAAATTGATGTACCAAAACTCATCATGTTACATGCCAAACCATATATTCGGATTAACACCAATAAATAAAAAAACAACTAATTTATTTTAACAATGCCCTAATCAGTATGTTCTAACAAAGCCGCAAATAACTAAAAACACACTATTAAAATCATGAATTATTTTCTTAAAATTTGCAAAAAAAAATAAAATTAATGGAGGCTAGCGAATTTTTAACAGCTATCTTAACAGAGACTAGTGATAGGAGTTATGTGTTACACGCGCACATATTTTAAGAGGTCTAGGTGTAATATGTCAAAATTATGAAAGAGCGTGATTAAATGAAAAATCTTATGAGATCTGAATATAATTTATTTTTTTCCACTTTCAGAAAAGTCTAACATTGGCCCATTAAAAGAAGTGCACAAATACTAGGATTGTCTAAAGTCACCTCGGACAAACCCGTGGGTGGCTAACATTGGTAGGGTTGTCCGTGGTAAAGTTGGCCCATGGCAGCCTGCTATTTGGTACAAAAACTTAGCCAATTACTGGTCCAATTTTAGCCTGCCTCACTCAAGTCTGAATAATCATACATCGGGCTATGGTGTTGCATGTAGTCTCTGATTGTTATTATGATTGTGTAACTGTCTAGTTCACGTTGTTATCTAATTATATATAATTTTGACAAGGACTATGTTATTTACTATGATCGTGTTGTTGTTACTGTCTAGTTTACCGGTGATTCTATGTTTCAATCGTGCCACCTTTCATAGCACTTCAATTCCCTCCCAATCATTGTCTCTTATACCCCACCAACACAAGCATTGTTGTTTGTTGTATCGTTGTTATTATTACTGTTCATGTTGTAATATACTTATTTATGTCATTAAAGATAAATTAATCTGTATGCCTTTAATTATCCTTTAAGCACTAAGAAGAACGCTTTTGTCCTTATTGACCTAAAAATCCACAACTATGGACCGGCCTCCAATTAACCCATAAATATTCAATGTAATGGTTACATTACACCACCATCGTCACATAGTACAATCGATCAATAAAAAATCTATCTAATATTGCAGCTATAAAGTTGAATTCTCAACTTAAAAAAGCATAACAATAATCATTATTGATTCAATTTTCATCTACTTTAATCAAATGTTATAAAATTCATCCTAAAATTTTTTTCCAGCTCAAAAACTTTATTTCCATTGTACCACCTCTAATGTTAGACAACCCCACCAATTCATACTTAAACCTCTCTCCTCTTTCCTAACTCTTTCTTATTTTATTTTTTTCATTTAATTTTAAATTGGGTGATTAAAGAGAAAAATAAATAAATTTTAAGTGTCGTATGATTAATATTCGATTTTTAAATTTTGAATGTTAAAATTATTGATGATTATATAATCTGATGAGTGTATTTGAGGTGACTTTTCAAAAGTGTTTTTAAGACTTATGACTTCTCATAAGCACTAAAAAAAAGTGTTTAGAACAACTTATTTTAATTAATTCGAAATAAGTCAAAAGTAATTTTATCACTTAAATAAGTAAGAACAAAAATAAAAAATAAAAAAAATAACTTCTACTTTCTTAAAATCACTTCACCACCACCCACCACCAACACTGTCGTCGCCACCCCACCACCACCACTATCATCGATCAACAAATTAATAACAATCTTTCTAATGATGGTAATACTGTCGAAGAGGCTCTTTCAAGAGACAGATTCTTGAATTTTCAACGAAAACAATGGCAACAATCTTGGAAGTTCCAGCGATCCTTGCAAGAACATTGATGGTGGGGTCCAAACCATGATCCCGATCAAGAAAGGGTGAACGGTGATAGGGCTCATATTCAATCCAATTGATATCAAAATCTTGTCTACCCTGTGAGACAGAATGTACGAGGTGTTCCTCCCTAGAGCAACACCCATTATAGATTCCAGCGATGATGAATATTTACTAGATAACTTTGTAGATTATAGAGATCTTGGCCATGAGTATAGGGATTTTCAGATGAATGTTAACCTACCCAGTTTCAATGGCTATCTTCATATTGAGCATTTCTTAGACTGATTGGCAGATGTAGAGCGATTTTTCCATTATACGGATGTTCAAGAAGCAAAGAAGGTGAAGCTAGGGGCGTACAAGTTGAAATGAGGGGCTTCTATTTGGTGGAAACAGATCCAACTTGTTCGTACCAGAGAGGGCCAGTATCCAATCCGTACCTAGTGGAGGATGAGAAGGTTGTTGAGATTAAGGTTTTTAACTCCAGATTATGAGCTGCTCTTATTTCTGCAATATCAAGATTGCAAACAGGGTAGTAGATCTATTCAAGTACATGCGGAGGAGTTCTAGAGGCTTTCTTCCTTCAATAACCTGAATGAGATCAATCATCATCTATATTTATCCAAATAACCTTGACATGATAGATGATTTAATCTTATTATATCTCTAACAGTTGGATGCCTACTTGCTCATGACCTTTATTTTATTAGTTTTATACGTATTCTTGGGGTGGTTGGCTGGTTAATGAAGACTATAGTTTTATACTAAAGGAAAGATTTGAGGGAAGATTTCATGCTCTTATCTCCAGAAAAATGTTGCATGCTAGCTTGCCCAAAGATTGCATTGGTTTTGCACTTAGTTCCTCGAAACTTAATAGATTTTCTTTTGGAGAGATCTCAATTTACCTAAATGGTTTAGTTTATTGTTACACTTTTATAATTTATTTTCCAATTATTCATTGAAGCATATTAGGTGAATTTAATTTTTAAAGTTTAGGTTATTGGTAATATTGTCAAACAAGTGTAATTTTACACTTTAAAACATTATCACCAAGCATATTTTCATATATAGATGCATGGATCTCATTACAAAAATGCTCGAGATGATCTGCCCAAACTATAACTCTACATCAACTTCTCTTCGTGGCGCTCAATGTCAGACAATCTAACCAACATACTCATCAATATCAAACAAACCCACTAACCACACCTACTTCTGTCTTCTCTCTCCCCTACATGGAGTTATTGCTAAATAGATGGTTGAATTAGAGAATTCACTTTTCCAAAAAGAAACTATTGTCCATCATATATTTGCATGACTTTGTCTTCTCTGATGGGATTGATCCATTGGTTGTTGGATCAATCTCCAGTTTATTGTTTGAGTTCTAATGTGCTTTTTACTTATTAGAACATATTTTTCACAAAGCTGATCAAGGCACTAATTGGTTTAAAAAATTTGTTGTTTTCAGATTTTCTTGGTGAGACCCTCCATTGCCTCTATAATGCCTTAGTAATGTGCGATCCACTTTACCAAAACATAAAAAATAAAAAACTAATCCACAAAGACATAGCAGAAGAACCAGTAAATATGAAATTAAGCAGGACGTCGAAAATGATAGGGATTTTGCCTTAGGTCAGTAACATGCGGTTCAGAATGAATTACTAATGTTGACTGTACTGTTATGATGTGAAATTAAGTATGATCTATTATGGACCCACTAAAACTTTGGTAAGGTTCTGGAAAAGAATTCTTTTT